CACCCCACACCCCCATCCCCACCCCTCTGGGTCATCAGAGCCCTGAGCTGAGCTCCTGAGCCAGACAGGAGGTGCCCACCAGGCATCTGTTTGATACATGGGAGTGTATGTATGTCGATCCTAGTCTCCCAGTTCATCCCACTGGATTTTCTCAATAATAAATACTAGAGTATGACAGGCTTGAGCATTGGTTGAATCTGCCAACACGGAAATGAAGATACAGAGGACCTGAGTATACAGAGGGCTCAGTATAAATTACGTGCAAATTTTCAGTTGCATAGAAGGTCAGCACCCCAACCCGCCCCCTTGGTAAGGCTCAGCTGTATGCATGTATGTGCTTAGTCACTCAGTCATATCGGATTCTTTGCAACCCCATGGGCTGTAACCCACCAGGCTCCTCTGTCCATGGGATCCTCCAGGTAAGAATACTGGAGTGGGTTGCCATGCCCTCCTCCAGAGGATCTTCCCAATCAAGGGACTGAACCCAGGCCTCCCGCATTGCAGGCAGATTCTTTACCATCTGAGCCACCAGGGAAGCCCAAGAATCCTGGAGTGGGTAGCCTAACCCTTTGCCAGGGGATCTTCCTGACCCAGGAATCAAAACAGGGTCTCTCCTACATTGCAGGTGGATTCTTTACCAGCTGAGCTACCAGGGAAGCCCCAACTGTGTGTATCAACATGTGTGAATGAATCTATTCGGAGCCTCTGTATGGTAGCAGTGGACATGCACATGCAGTCAGAATAAGTGGGACCGAGGTCCATGGTGTGAAAAGCAGGCCCAAGGGCCCCTGCCCAGCACAGCTGCTACACAGCCACTCTGTGTCTTTTTCTTTGGGTGTACACAAGGCATCCTGTGCCCCTTCTTACTGTCTTCTCCATCCACACAAGCCCAGGTCTCCCAGCTGCTGCAGGCCTGGACCTACAGCTCCATCACGGGCCAGCCAGGTGCTAGAGTGGGAGACTGAAAAATAAGTCCTAATGAATCAGTCGTAGCTGCCAGTTCAGCCTCTCCCTACGATTGAATCCTGGCTCCTCCACAAGGTTAGCACGTGAGTTATATTAGCCATCTCACGTCTCTGGATTTGATTTTTATCTGCAAAATGCAGATAATAGTAGCATCCACCCTCCAAGGCCTTGTGAGCATGGGCCAAGGTCATATACATATAGCACGTAAGTCTGGAACATAAAAAATATTTAGCAAACGATTGTTGTTATCATTACCATCAGTATTGTTTTCTATGTCTTTCCAAAGAAAATCCAGCTGGTGGACTGGGGTTTTGTATTGCATTGATGTCAAAACCACATCTTCCAGAAACTACTCTAGGACCCCTGATGCATCCAACTTGGTCACAGCACCCACAAGCACACATGCTTCTGACCTACAACAATGGGGGGTAAGTGCAGAGTTTCTCCAGTTAGACTCCTTAGTCCCAAGACACCTACCACTAATTAAACAGCATTTTACTGTTCAAGTTAACACAGCCTCAGTTTCTGACATATCCAGAAATGCTGTTTATTAACTTCAGAATTAGTCTCCTATTCCTTCTCTTTGACAATTTTGCAAAAGTAAATATGTAAAAGCCCCAAAAGCAGAGTAGCAAATTGTACTTTTCTCCATTGAAAGGCTCCCCCATTTGAGGGTACTCGATCACATTATAACATTGCAGAACTGTCAGAGTGTAATTAGTCTGCATTGCTTCACATTCCTGATGGGGCAATCGTTTAAGAGACGGCTTTATAAGGGACCAAATGAAGTGGTGAGTGACATGCGATGCTGTGATCTTCGGGGTACCCGTCAGGGGAAGGGGCAGAAGGCGGGCCGGGAGAGGCAGTCTTTGAAGACAAGGCCATGTTCAGCCTGAAGAGGCTCCCACTTCTGCTCTTCCTCCACGTGCAGCTTTCCAGGGCCTTCCCAGTGTCTTCTGCATCCCCAGAAGAGAAAAATAGAAACATTGTTCAGGTACCTCAACTATCATTTAGGTGGGTGGATGACTTGCTGGTGATGAGAAAATTGTTTGGGTTATCTTCTCTTTTTAGTTGAAACAGCCTGAAGGAATTACGTGAATAATTTGCTTGAGGCTGAACATCTTGTTTCAATGATTAGGAGAGTTCCAAAGGGGCTCTCTGAAAGCCGGGCATGCAAACACGCTGGAGTCTTCAAACAGTTGGAAAACATGCCCACCAAGCTGCTCCAGCTGGGAAATCCTTTTAGAAGGAATGGTTTTAATTACAAAATGATTTTCTTTCTCACTTACCTAAGATTTCCTTTCTAGAATGTCTGCAATGCAGTTACTACATGACTGGTGCTTTCTATATGGACTTGTCTTTGCAGCCAAATGTCTCAGGTGTACAAGAGAGTGTGAGGATGGGAAACTCTAAGAAACTAGAAATCAGTTCATCATGCGGTCATATTTCCTAAAATCAGACTATGGGGCTGTTTATAAACTCTTGGAAGCATTGTAAAAAGCAAGACTGATAGCTTTTTTCCCATTGTTTAGCAGTATGAAAGTCAGGCCAAGGTTTTAAAGGAACACAAAGGAATGTTGTCAGAAATTTGTCATGAACAATTTTCTTAGCATTACAGTTTTAGAAAAGCATTTTTTTCTTGTTGATTCTTTTTGTTTGACTTTAAAAAAAAATATTTCTTACCATGATACAGTAACCCATGGGATGATAGCCAGAAGTGATTAAGTACTTATTCCACATAGGGTGCCCCGCTCAGCATTTCTCAAATATTGTCTCGTTTCATCCTACAGCAACCCTGTGAGGACAGATTATTAATTCCACTTTAGAGATAAAAGTGAATCTTAAATCATCTAAGTTATGTGTCCAGGACACAATTAATCCATGGCAAAGCTAAGTTTTGAACCCAAAGCAATCTGATCTCCAAGCCTGTGTGAGCACAAAATTGCTGTGTCCTGCGTCACTTGCAAAGTGCCACTTCAGGATGCTTAAGGTGAAAGAAAGAAGCCTCATAATTGGCTCATCAACAACTTTCAGAACCTTTACTTCTTAATGAGTTTCTGGCCCCTCTTGAAGAGTTACTGTGGTGGATAAGAGGCTAATGAGAGTGATGCTGCTATTACTCCAAAACATGTTTGGTGTTCTCAAAATTCTCAGTTCTCATCTGGGAAGCAACATGGTGAACTGGGACCTGATTATCATCTTGGCATGTTCCTTATTGTTTTGCATCTTCATGTCAGTGTGAATGATTAACCCTCCTCTACAATAGTGAAAAGAGGATTAAGAAAGAGAATCTGCATGCTGCGACTAACACTTCAAGTCAATAAATGTTTATGCTGTTTTGCTTTGTTTTGCTTTTTAATAAAAATAAGAAGGCAGTCTCCTAACTGTATACCAGCATTTTGCTTGAGATGTCGATCTTACCCCTAATGAAATACCTACTTTTATGAATAATATTAATTGTAGCACTGAAGGGATGAACTATTCTTTCCAGTAGGCACTTTTCTGTCAAAGTCAACCAACAAATTTGTGCTTTTATCTTTGCTGCGATCAGGTTATTAGCTCTGGTTTGACCTCTGCACTAACTTAAAAAGGAATGCAAAACCCCAGAGAACTGAAGGTAATTTCACAGCAAATCCCTTCTATGTCTGTCTTTTTCCAGAATTACCTAGAGAAGTTCTACCAATTGCCAAGGTACACATATAAGTCTGAAAGGAAGAGCAAAACTAATGTGATTGTTGAGACACTTAAAAGAATGCAGCGATTCTTCGGGCTGAATGAGACAGGGAAGCCAAATGAGGAAACCTTGGAGATGATGAGAAAGCCTCGATGTGGAGTGCCCGACTCGGGGGACTTTATGAGAACCCCAGGAAACCCCAAGTGGGAAAAAACTCAGCTGACCTACAGGTGACATTTCTCGAGTTTCAGAGTTTATTTACGGGGCCAGTGTTCACTGAACTCTTGCTGGGTTAGGCACTGATACGGAACTTGGAATCCACTAGAGACAAACAAATGTCCTTGTTCTTACACAGTTTAGATTCTAGTGAATGAGTGAGAGGATAAAGTGGTGAAGATCCCATGGGTTCTTGTCAATCCAAAGCCTGCCACTTTTGGTCTCCTTTCTCTAACAGTCTAAAGAGGTATGTGGCAAAGTTAGGCTGCCTCTCTAAGAACTCATGTCGGTGGTTCATGGTTTAGTCACTAGGTTGTGTCTGACTCTTTATGACCCCATGGACTGTAGCCCGCCAGGTTCCTCTGTCCACGGGACTTCCCAGGCAAGAATACTGGAGTGGGGTACCATTTCCTTCTCCAGGGGATCTTCCCCATCCAGGGATCAAATCTGAGCCTCCAGCATTTACAGGCAGTCTCCTGCATTGCATGCAGGTGAATTCTTTACCACTGAGCCACCAGGGACCCCCCAAAAGACTTAATCATTGCTGGAGAGAATCTAGCCTCACCTTTCATCCATTTTGATGATATTAACTAATAATGATACCCAATATTCATTGAAGACTACTTTATGCCGAGTAGTGAACTAAATGCTTTATATATATTTACTCTCACAAAAACTTTATGAGAGGTGTACTATTTTACCATCTTTCTTGAATAAGGAAGCTGAGTTTAAAGACATGTAGTAACCTGTCCAGAACCCAGGTCTGTCTTCAGCCCTAAGTCCTTCACCCCCTCCTTACGCACTGTTCAGCGGTAGCATGTTACACGTGCAACAAACTCCAAGCTAGAGCAATTTAATGTACCGAGGGGCTGCTGTTCTGAACAATAATGAGCCTTCTCATTTTGAAGGATTGTGAACTATACCCCGAACTTGACAAGGATGGATATAGAAGCACTTATTGAGGAAGCCTTTAAAGTCTGGAGTGACGTGTCACCCCTGACCTTCAACAGGACCCTGGACAAAGAAGCGGACATCCAGATTTCTTTTGCCCAAAAAGGTGGGCTCAAGGAAGCCAGACGTGATAGTGCTTTCCCTGGCTAACCTGAAACTTGGCAAATACCTAATACAAATTGTTTTATTTCAGATCATGGGGACAATTCCCCATTTGATGGACCTGATGGAATTCTTGCTCATGCCTTTCAGCCAGGCCCGGGTATTGGAGGAGATGTTCATTTTGATGCAGAAGAAACATGGACCAAAACCCCTGAAAGTAAGTTAACCAAGGGACAACATGTAGCTTCTAACTGAGCTTTTTCACATTAGAATTTGCACTCCTACACACACACACACACACACACACACACACACATATTATCCTTATTACCTCAAGATACTAAGTTAATTTAGGTTTAGAAAAAATCTTAAAAGCTAAATCCTGACCTTGTTTCCTAAGGCAGGAATCAGAAAACACAAATCATGGCTAAGTCCTTCCTGTTCCTATTTGTATACATGGAGTTTTATTGGAACAGGGCCACATACTCTTCCTTTTATGTATCATCTACGACCACTTTCATGCCACAATCTCAGAGGTTAGCAGTTGTCACAGAGACCTTATGGCTCACAAAATCTGAAATATTTACTATCTGGACTCTCATAGAAAAAGTCTGCTTTCCACTGACTTACTATTTAGGGCAAATCTTTATTTTAATATTGTGAAATTTTATGATGTTTGAAAAGATTTCTACTTTTGGAAATTCAGAAATAATTAGGTTTATTTAGAACACTGTCCTACCTAAGAAAGAGCAGCCATCTACATATTCTTGTTTATCTAGTTATTTCATCTTCATAGAACTATTTTTTCAAAGATATGTTCCCATCTAGCAAACTACCCCTTTCAGGAGAAGACTCAGGGTAAGTATAATATAACCTGAAGGAAAGAACTGGGTATAAGAAGAGGTATATTCAGACCATATGGTACTTTAAAAGGTTATAGGGTAACGAAAGGCCATGGAACACTTTTTTGAAAATAATAAGAAAGGTACATTTATCTTCGCTTGGGACCTGTTCCTTCCACCATTTCCTCAACATCAATGATCTAAGTATTTATTCTACCTAAATCCCTGTGCTTGGAGCTGTGTGTTCACAAAGATAATAAACTCTCCCCATGACTTCAGATTCAGTTCAGATGGTCATTACTGCTCACCTGATCCAGAGTCCCACCTGGACTGTTCACTTCTAGTCTCTGTCCCTCTAATTCTCCCCAACACTGCAAGAAGTTTTGTTCTTGGAAAGCCCATGTCTACATTTGGAAAGCCCATTATTTACATTTTCTAGGCCAGATATGTCCACTTGACACTGAAAGCTCTTAAGGATCATCCAACATCATCTTTCATGGCTTGTCTTCGCATTTCACACAGAGCAGCCACACTGCAATTCACTGTTCCCAGATGACAGCGTCTGCTCTCCAACAATCCTGCACTGGCTCATGTTTCTTCCTCTTCCCGAAATGCCCTTGCCCACACCCAAAGCCCCACCTTTCAAAGTCTCTCTTTTTCCATACTATGTCAACCGGTATGGAAACACCCCATTTTGTCTTCTTCTGAGAATCCTAGTAGCCTTTGTTTTGTCTTCTCTAACTTTTCTCTTCATTATTCTGTGCATTCAAGTTGTTTGCATGTGTCTCCCTGTCTAGTCTATGCAGATAATAAAAATCCCCCAGAGCTCCTTGCCCAGTACTTCAGGCACTCAAAGATGTTTTTTTTTAAGCATACATGAATGCAAGGTGGAAGGATGTGATGATCAAGAGCATGAGTCTTGAAGCATGGGTAGAATATTCAAGGCTAATTATCATCAGGAAGTGTTGAACACTGTGGTAAGAGCACAGGTCTTGCTATCATAACCAGGTTCAACCCCAGCTCTACCACTTATTAGTTGCAAGATGAATAACAAGGCTTCAAACTCTCTGGGCTTCAGTTCCTTTCTTTAGAAGTATTATTAGAAATAATTCATAAGAATGTTGTAAGATTAAATATTATTACAGTGACTACCATGTAAGAAAGTGCTCTGCAACTATGATTTTTTTAAAGGAGTCAGTGTTAGAAAATGCACTGCGTGTTTGTGAGACGACATGTAGACCAGTTGGAGGGAAGGGTTCACATCAGAAATCCAGTCCTCAGACGTCTGCCGGAGCCAAATTCAGTAGTCTTGGACTTGGCAAAGGAGTTTGGGCTTTATTTGACAGGAAGTGCAAGCCTTGAAAGTTTTTCAGTTCCTAGTTATGAAAGGCACGGTACTCATGGAAGTCAAAAGATAAGAGTAGGAACCAATAAGGGGTGGGGTTTGTCTCTTTCTGGTGGTAAATTCCTGATGCTTCCTGGAGAGCTCAGAATCAAGGAAGAGCCGGCGCTAGGCTCTGGGTGATTGGAAGCCAAAGGGAGTCAACCCCGCACAGGAGGCCCGTCTTGTGGGCTGACCGGCTTCTTTTCTATGCGCCTCTTCACTGCGACTCTGCTCGTGGTGTGTGGGTCTGGGAGGCTGGCGAGGAGTAGGTGTGGGGACATGGCGGGAGAGGGTCTCTGAGAGTCTTGAGACCTGTGACGGCCTCATTATCATTTCCCTAAACCTCAGGTCCATGAACTATAGGAAGTAGAAGAAAGGCAGTCTAAGGCCTGATGAGGCGCTCATTACTCCTAATCGCAACCTATGACTCCTACCTTGCTTCCTTCCAGTCTCTATCTCACCAGATAATGAAGAGGAAAGGGAGAAGTCAGGTAGTTTGGGCCTGGAAGCTGCATTCCTCGAGATCCTATTCCCGCCACCCTTCGATCCACTTCAACCCATTCACTGCACACGCTTGCATTTCAGATTACAACTTGTTTCCTGTTGCTGCCCATGAATTTGGCCATTCCTTGGGGCTGGCTCACTCCTCCGATCCTGGGGCCCTGATGTATCCCAACTACGCTTTCAGTGACCCCAGCACCTACAGACTGCATCAAGATGACATCAATGGCATCCAGGCCATTTATGGTAAGGTCATCTTAAGTACATGGTGATGCTTGGGCACGTCAGAGATGCTCACTGCAGTCTGCTGTGATGATAGAGGTTGGAGGACACCTGGGAACCCATCAGGAGGAGAACACACAGGGAAAATGTGGTGGATGCAGGCCATACATTAATGTGCAGCCCTGAGAAACTCTGAATCAGGTGGGCACAGATGAGTCTTTTGGAGAAGGAAATGCAGCCCACTCCGGTACTCTTGCCTGGAGAGTTCCATGGATGGAGGAGACTGGTAGGCTACAGTCCCTGGGGTTGCACAGAGTCAGACACGACTGAGCAACTTCACTTTGTTTCTTTCTATAGTTCCTTTTGGAGAAGGAAATGGAAACCCACTCCAGGGTTCTTGCCTGGAGAATCTCATGGACAGAGGGGCCTGGTGGGCTACAGTCTATGGGGTTGCAAAGAGTTGGACATTACTGAGCAACTAAGACACACACACAGATGAGTCTTTAAAACATTGTGATTCCTGGGTAAGAAACAGAATGATACATATGACACAGTGTACAAATTATACAATGTGTTGAATCCACACAAATTAAGAATGCATATAGACAAAGCAAAGCATTTTCAAGAAACGTGCTAACAAACATATATTTATACATTTATGTTGAACATATCAAGATAGTTGTCTGTGACAGAAAGAAGGAAGTGGGATGGAGTATGGAGAGATAGACACATTTTTTGAAGCAGAGACATACTTTTCAGGTGTCAGGGAGGGATATAGAGGCCTTTGGCCCCGTCTAAGGTGGTCTGGACCGTTCCATCTCTCCTTCCTCTTGCACCCCTGCCCTCTAGTGCCTGTAGGAAGAAGAAGCCAAAGAAAGGCTTGCAGCTTTTTCTCTAAAAAAAAAAAAAATTAAACTGTGGATGGGATAGTAGTGTTGTGGAGTCACATTGGGTAAAACATTCTCCCTTTCTGGTAAGACAGCAGTATCAAAACCAAGCTTGCTAGGGTCTCACAACTATGAATTTTTTTCATGACAGTAGAATTTTTAGGAACAAGGAGACCTAGTCTGTGACTACCTCTACTTCCCAATTCCTTTTCCTCTGAAAACACCTCCTTTCCTCGCTCACCCATATTTTAACTGCTTGCAACCTTTTGTTCGGCAATGAGAAAATACATTACGGTTTAAATATCTATAAGAAAAATATGTCTAAAATTGGACTTAGATTTATGCTCTTTGGCAGAAGACTGATAGATAAGAGCTTCCGGAAGGTGGGTTTTCGTGGGAAACGAGAAAGTAGATACCGAGCGACTAAACATGCAGAAAGAGGAGCCAAGAAGGGAAAGAAACACGGGATTCTGGTTTTAAACTGGCAGAGGGGAAGGGGGAGAATTCACACTGCTTTGCTTCACAGCCTGGAGCTGCCCCTAAAGCCCCCAGTGCTCGTTGTTTATTTCATCTAACCCTTCGGGCGCGCTGGGCCTCCACTGCTGCCCGGGTTTCCTCTAGTCGCGGCGCGAGGCGGCCACTCTTGGCGGCGGCGCACGGCCTTCCACGCCAGTGGCTTCTGTCGCTGCGGCGCACTATCTCCAGGGTGCTCAGGCTGCAGTGGTCACGGTCCGCGGGCTCGCTAGTGGCGCTTCCCGGGCGCTTCGGTGTGAGACGGGCTCAGAGAGGCCTTAGCAGAGACCTGCTCCGTGGCATGAGAGACCCTCCCAGACCAGGGATCAGACCCATGTTTCCTGCCCTGGCAGGCGGATTCTTTACCGACTGAGCCATCAGAGAAGCCCTGTGTGATTTTTTAATTATAAAAAAAAAAAAAAGACTTTAAAGAGAGCCTAATATGTGATTACTTTTTAACAGCTTGTAGGATAATCAGGTAGCATTTCTTTTTATAAGAAGACCCTTCAATGACCTGAGACGTATCGAATATACACCGTGGGCTTATGTTTATAGTAAGTCTTTTTTTAATTTCAGGAACCTCAAGCAACCCTGTCCAACCTACTGGACCAACCACCCCCACCGCCTGCGACCCCAAACTGACGTTTGACGCTGTGACCACACTCCGTGGAGAAAAACTCTTCTTCAAAGACAAGTATGAGAATGAGATATTCCTTCTTTTGACTTCTTTACTGGCTAACTTAAAACTAGATTCTAAGTAAGTCATACAGTACACATTTCTCAGCTTTTCCTTTGAATCCTATGCATGTGAATCTCAATGGAATTGGTAGTGCTTTCTGGATAACTCAGAACATCCCAGAAAAGAAAAAATAGTTTAAACATTTGTAAATATTCAGATGTTTCTGAAGATGTAAACAAACATGGGCTCTAACTGTTGGAAATTCTGTGGCTAGGTTTCCCCAAGACCAAAATAGTATTCAGTTCTACCCAGATTCCATTCAGGTGAATGGAAACTGTCCCTTAATAAGATCCGGGAGAAATCATCTGACTGAAGTTTTCAGTCTTCCATTGGCTGTTTTGTGATTGTGGACCCACAGGCTGAGTGTGCTTGTATTCTAAATATCCTCATCATATCGTAGCCCCGGTGATGAAAGGGCCTAACAGCAGAAGACTTGTCGGTGTGTGAGAATGGCGGTAGCGTAACATGTGACCGAGTAAGGCCGCTCCTGTCGGCTCCTCTGACACCTGCAGAGCGCTCACCAGGTGGACGGGGTCACCACAAAGACTGGTCACATGCTGGCCGCCGAGCTGCCAGCATCGCCTTCGTGTGCGTCATATCCTGTCAGCAGGCGAACAGGGCCGCTCCCAGCCCCCGACCCGCAGAGGCCTACGTGGACTGTCACGCGTGCTTCTCTGCTTGTGTTCCACTAGGTACGTCTGGAGGAAGCACCCTCGGCTACGAATGATCGAATTCAATTTAATTTCTCTCTACTGGCCTTCCCTGCCAAACGGCATACAGGCTGCTTATGAGGATTTTGACAGGGACCTGATTTTCGTATTCAAAGGTAATTGCCTGAGGTTGTCCTCTTCATTTAGTTCCTGGCGGAGGGAAGGGCAGGAGGCCTTTGTGCTCTTTTCCAGGTTCAAAGAGGTGAGTCAAGGAGAGAGTGTTGACGCTGACTGCGTTTTTGTCGAGAGACCTGGGTTGGGTCCCCTGTTCACCACTAACTGCTGTGTGAACTTCAGCAGGCTGTACCCTCTTCAGGCATTAATTTCCTCATTTACAAAATAAAAACACTTCGTTAGACCAGCTTTAGCATTCTTCCACCCTCATCCCGGGTATAATTCTCTAAGATTCCCCCAAGGTTCTAGTTAAATCTCTGGATAGCCGTCACATGAGATAAGACATCCAAGTGTGGGGCCCTGAATGCCAAGCTAAGAAGTTGGGAATATTTTATTACAGGTGCTGGGGAACTGTGAGAGCTATCATAGCCCAGTGATCTTAACTTGACCACCTTTTTCTTTTCAAGACTATTTTTCCCATTTTTATTCCTATGATGAATTTATGCAAAGGTTAAGAAGTGATACACATTTTGTAGGAATGGAAAAACTTTATCTGACATACAACCTGAATCATTGACAGGCACGCAGTACTGGGCTCTGAGTGGCTATGACACTCAGCAAGGTTATCCCAAGCATATATCAAACTATGGCTTCCCGAGCAGTGTCCAAGCAATTGATGCAGCTGTTTCCTACAGGAGAAAAACGTACTTCTTTGTAAATTACCAATTCTGGAGGTAAGATTTGTTTCCATTAGAGATTGAAATCTGTGTTTTTCACCCTGTCTAGAAACCATCAATGACCAGGTATCTGAAGGTTTAACATATCTAGATGGTCTCTGATAAGCATTCTTTTTCACAAGATGATTGATGTTGCTATGGCTTTTGAGATTTTCTTAAAGTTAAGACGCCTGCACAATGGTATTGAGCATGCTATATCCTGAAAAAGAGCTAACTTTAATAGAGCACTAAAGTGGGATACAAAGAAAGAGTTAGGCTAAGTCTCATTTATTAATGAAATTCTGAGAGTTAAATTCTACACTCAAACAAATGTTATACTGAACTTGATCCCCAAGTTGAAATTATTATTTATATTTATTCAGATAGAGACGATGAATCAGTTAAGTAAAAACCTTAGAAACATAAACTCTCTTTTTTGAAAATAACACTGCACCAGCAATCAGAAATCTGCCTTAGTGTTAGTGATACTGGTATATTTTATAAATAGGTATGTACCCTTAGGCAGAGAATTTAACCATCATTAGTTCCAGTAAATAGGATATTGTGAAGGACTAATGAGAAAATATGTGTGAAGGCACTTTTTAAAGTATAAACAATTTAAAGAAAATCATTATCATTGTATATTGTATTGGTCTTAAACTATGGAATGATTTTTTTCTCATCAGATATGATGACCAAAGTCAATCTATGGAACCAGGCTATCCCCAAAGCATAGAAAACTTTTTTCCAGGAATAAAAAGTAGAGTTGATGCAGTTTTCCAGGAGAATGGTAAGTAGAAAATGAGCTTAATAAATTTGTTTAATTTTTTTAAATAGCTCATTTGCATTTGATAGTTATAATAGGACTGGAGTGGGGTCTTTTAATTGAAAATATCCAAGATCTTCTACTAGCTAATTCAATACATTGTGTCTTTTTTTTAATATAGCCTTCTTCTTTTTCTTCAGTGGACCAAGATATCATGCATTTGATTTTCATGCTCGTAGAATTACTAGAGTCGACGAAAGCAATAGATGGCTTAACTGTAGATACAGTTGAAGCAAAATTAAATGTGATTGTATCCATTTTCTGAATATGGAAGGGAAGTTTAATTTGCACATCTTACACTGTGTCCTATTTATAGTTTCTGAATAATAAATAATGTTGTTTGCTATCACTGTATTCATTGGACCTGTCCTCAGTGAAATTACATTTGGAGTATCCACTGTTTGCAGAGGTTGATTTGGTTCTCATACATTCCATCTCATGTTAGTGAATCCATCAAAAAAAGGAGATTAAGTCCTCTTTGCCACCTCGATCAATATTCATTATTTCCTTAACTTGTTTATTTGACTTTTAAAATGCCCATTTATTCTGAAGTCTTTTAAATATGTCTTAAGTATACCTGATACATGTAATTTAGCACTGTATTTTGGTTAGAAGTAAGGATTATGACCACAGAGAAGGAAATGGTAACCCAGTCCAATATCCTTGCCTGGAAAATCCCATGGACAGAGGAGCCTGGCCAGCTTTGTGTCCATGGGGTCGCAAAGAGTAGGACACAACTCTTTGAGTGAATAAACAACAACAACAAGTGTTATGAACAACACAAGCAGTACACATTGCCTTGACCAAAAATGTGATGCTATTTTCCACTCTTGGAAGGAAATATTGTTGATACCTGTTGTGGATTGAATTGTATCCCCCCCAAAAATGGTATGTTGAAGCCCTCACCCCAAATACCTATGGAACTAGCATCTCTGTTGATGTTATTAGTTAATATGAGGTTATTCTAGATTAGGGCAGGCCTAAAAACTGATGTTTTTATAAGAAGAGCAGACCCTAGATATCCAGTTGAGAAGGCCTTGTGAAGATGGAGCAGAGTGGGAATGATGCATCTACGTGCCAAGGCTTGACAGCAACCACCAGAAGCTGGGAAGAGGTAAGGAAGAATCCATCCTGGAGCCTTCAGAGAGAAGGACATGACCCTCCTGACTCCTTGATTTTGATTTGTAGCTTCCAGACTGTGATAAAAAAAAAAAATATTTTCTCTTGTTTTAAGCTACCAAGTTTGTGATACTTAGTTACAGCAGCTCTAGGAAGCTGAAACAGTACAGCTGCACTTAAAGAAATGAATCAGTACAGAAAGACAGAATTGAAACCCCAGTAAAGATGATTGATATCTTCCCAGGGAAGCAGCAAAAAGGAGAGGTACCACCTCCTTGGCTTCTAGAGTCTGAGCAAATGGGCTAGTTAGATATGTTGTTCTTTATTTCTGTTTTCCCTGAGCTCCTCAAAGGGACATCCTCTACAGAAAACTAGGGTTTGCCACACAAACAGAGTTGTGCTGGGCACAAAATTCAGTAACTCTTATTTAATTGAATTAAACTGAGATGAGATGCATAAATTTGCTAATGGATTGATTTTCTATTAAGAACTTTAAGATTCGTGGGATCATAACGGTTAGTCCAGACATTAAAATCATTATAATATCCAGGGAGCCCAGGCTGGTGCTCTGTGATGACCTGGAGGAGTAGAATGGGGCGGGGGAGGGAGACTCAAGAGGGAGGGGGCGTGTATATAATTATGGCTGATTCATGTTGACATACAGCAGAGACCACCATAGCACTGTAAGGAAATTATCCTCCAATTAAAAAATTATTATAATAAATTGGCAGTTGTTAGAATGCAGCTAATAAGCTGCATGTTATGTAATAACATAATAAATATGTGAACTATAAAATATATTTAACACTATCATATACTTTGTTCTTTTTCTGTTAAAATTTTTAAGCCCTGCATATGATTAATTTAGTATAATTTGATACTTAAATTTGGTTCAGACTTTATCTATTAAGTGAGTTCAAAATAAATATTTTAAATGACTGACTTGTGATCCACTGAATTTCTTAATATACTACCACATAGTTAATCTAAAGTAAAAAAAGAGAATTTTCAATATATTTGTGGTTTTTTTCCCTTATCAGAAATATTATACTATTGATATTACACTTTTAGATATTGCTTCATAGGTTAATGAAATATTTGTCAGTATTCAGTGTCTTCAAAGAGTCTCTTTAGTATGTCAATACTTTATTCTCAATTCATTTTATAAGATAAAATAGAAACTAGTATATACTATAATTTCATTTATTCACTTATTCTACAATTAATCACCTACCTGTTCCAGGTACTGTGCGAAGGAAAGTGAGGGAAATGGATAAGCAATTCATTGTACCAATGTCAAATAGCAAAAGGACCTGTAAGAATTTGAGATTTCATTTTTAAGTGTCAATTTCAGACTATGGTATCTTTTAAAACTTCTTATGAAATCAGTTTTTATAGGCGCAAAGATGGAAAATTCATCTCAGAACACCTGCTAGGTGCACCGGCTATTTATGACAGATTCTTGGCCCAAGCCTCATCTGTGCATTTTCAACCCAAGAACTGAATTCATGTTATTTCTTTAACCATATTTCACAGGCAAAGAAAGTGAACAGCAATATGAAGTATAGTAAAGAATTTTAAACTTTAGCATTTTTTAAGGTTTTCTTCTGGACAACATGTGGTATTTTCTGGATGCTATGTTGAAGTTTTGAGTACAAGAGATGTGAGAATCTAAACTTAAAACTTAAGAATGATATTACTTTTACCGTAGGTTGAGTTCCTTCCAAAGCAAAGGCTAAGGCAAGACCTTGGTGCAGTCATTTTATTGGGGACATGGTCCCAGGAAGCAAGAGTGAGGATGAGCAAGCAGAGTGAGACAGAAAGAGGGAAAGTTCATTAATTCAAGTATGTGTCGCTGAGGTTTCTGCTACAGGAGCTGGGGCTCAATTCCAGGAGGACTTACTGAGAAACATACAGAACCCCTTTCAGTTGTTCACTTGTTCTCCTGTGGGTGGGAGGCTGGAACATCCTTCAGTCCCTGCCCACCACCACGTAGCTCTAAGGAATTGACCTGTAGGTCACCATGGCAGCTCAATGCCCCGAGCAAAAAGCACAAAGACACTCAGTGTGTGGTCAAGGGTGGCCTGTGTCAGTAAGGTGAGTTTTGCAGACCTGTCCACAGCTGCGCAGCTAAGCTCAGAGGTGTGCTGGGAGACTGTCACACAGGCACAGGAGGCACCTCCTGTAACTTTGTTGCTGGGAGATCAAAGTGGGGAATTGGACGAGTCTTCTCTGGGGAAACTTACTCACCCAAGAAAAAGGATTCACAGATACCCGACCTATAGAAATCTCAGCGGGGCAAAGACTTACTAGTTACCTCTATTAACATGATCCCCTCTTCCTTTGCTGCAGTAAATTTCATTTGAGGTAGCAATTCATCCAGCTACAAGACTGTTTTGTAGCCTCGCTTATGGCTAGATATGGCCATGTGTTTAATTTCTTGCCAAAAAGTGTAAGCAGAATACTGTATGGGCTTCTAGAAAGAGACTGGGCATTTACTTTCTCTTCCTTCCTCTTTCCTGCTGCCCGTATGTGCTAAGTCACTTCAGTTGTGTTCGACACTGTGCAACCCCATGAACTGTAGCCTGCCAGGCTCCTCTGTCGTGTGATACTCCAGGCAAGAACACTGGAGTGGGTTGCCATTTCCTTCTCCAGCTGCCTGTAATGCAGATGCAGCTGCAGAAGCTTGAGAAGGCACCTGGACTGTGAGGCACTGGCCCTGAGAGATGGTGTTGCCAGGTGTCTGCTGCCTACATCCCTGATGATGTGGTATTGTCACACAAGCCTTGGACGACCAAATCTGGACTTCTCTCGTGTGAGGGAGAAAGAAATGTTTCTTAATCATTTGGTACTTGGATTTTTTCTATTATATTTCAACCAAATAGTCCAACTAATAGATCATATGAAGTGTCTGGAACCCACCCTACCACCCTGCAGTACAGATCATTGACCAGCAGCCCTGCCAAAGCACACATAGCTTCCAGCCAGCTTTCTTGTCTCTCAGTATTAAACAGATTGCAGATCACATCTCCAGACATTTTTTAAAAAGCTTCTAATATCAAGAACAGACACCAAAACAGACATTTTGAAGAAATAAAGACAATCCTGGAAGCAAAAGAAAATGTTAAAATAAATGAAAAAATACTTAACATTCTTTAAAAGTAAGACACAGCTTATGTCCAAAAAAAATTAACAAAATGCAAAAACATAAAAAAATAAAAGGATACTCAGAGAACTAGAAAGAGCTCTTGGACATTAAAAATATAACTAAGATAAACTCAATAGGTGAGCTGGAAATAAGGGTGATGGAAAGTAATAAAGGATATATTGGAAACACAGAGATTCAACCCAAGAATTCCAATAGCTATATATTCCAGAAAGGAAAAGAGGAAACTAGGTGGAAAGAAATTATCAAAGAAATAATAGAGGAAAATTTCTTTGAAGTTTTCATAATGAAAGAGCTCTCTTATTGCCAAGCAATGTTAATGCAAAAAGACTCACATTAAGAGATATCTTTATAACATTTCAGAATACCTGGGTAAAGAGACTTCCAAAATTGTTCAGAAATAAAAAGAAACATACCAAGAATAAAAGGCTTTTCAACAACAACTCTATATTCTAGAAAAAAAATGGAACAGAAACTTCAAAATTCTAAGGCAGATTGATTTCAGCCTGATATTCCATAACCAGGCACACACTCTATAGAGTGCGAAGACAGAATAAAGGGTATTCTAGACATGAAAAGACTCAAGACATGCACTTTCCTTGCACCCTTTCTGAGACCCCCAGCCCCTACATGTGCATTTGCTCCAGTGCGGTCAGACCTCCTACAGCTCATCTCTGCCATGGTCCCTGCTTCCCGTGGCCTCCCTCCACTCATATGCCTTCTCCTTTCCTCCGTGAGAACCAATCCTACACACTCTTTAAGAGACAGTGCAAGCTCAACCTGCTTGAAGCCTGTAGACCACACTCATCTGTAGTGATCTTTCCACCTTTTGGGCCATTTCAGTCTTCAGACTCTTTACTGTGCATTTTGCCACTTTTCTCCATTTTATCTAATGTTAGTCTGTGTATGTGTCTGAATTTTCCAACAAGTTTGGACCAGTGTCTTATTCTTTCTTGCATTAATAGTGACAGCAAATCGTGAGTGCTCAATAAACATCTCATATTTACTCAGTTAATTAGGATAATCTGATTCCTAAATAAATAGTCTTTTCTAGATACCATGCCTTTTCTTTTTTTGAAAAACAGACATGCCTTCTTTATTAGAAGACAGGAAGTAAGGAAGTATCTGTATCAAGAGCAAGACAACAGGTGAAATCATATTCCTCAGAAGAAGCAAAAAATTACAATTTTGCAAGCATATCAGGTGATTACAACAAAAGACAACATTTTTGCAAAGAAAATTATCTTGTTATACAAATATTGTGGGCTTTCGTTCAAATGAAAATTATTCAACTCACAAGAATTTATGTAGAGGAAAGCCTCCAACTTTACAAGGACAAAAGTAGCTTGGAGGCTCAGTTCGTATTATTTTAAATTCAGTAATAACAGTGACTATATTTACCAAACAAATCGTAGATCATGATTGTGAAATCAAGTCAACCTAAGAAAAAAAAGCATATCATGACACACTCCATGGCAAATGTCCTTTTCTGTTTTTAATTAAAGGATAACACAAGCCGATTCATGCCACGTCTCACTATTATTTTCTAAATTCTATGCAAACAGAACGAGGCTTCAACTGGAGAGAGAGGAATGAAGAACCCTCTTCTGCTTTTGGTCTTTGTAACACTGTCCTCTGCATTTCCTGTAGACCAAAGGATGGAAGGCGACGAAAATCTGCAACTGACTCAGGTACTGTCTCAGTAAATGTCATTCGTGGCTATCCATAAAAATTTCACTTTACTGATTGTCCGAGGACCTAAAAAGACAGCTCATTCTTACCAAAGAGTCCTGAACTTTTTTGTGAGGAGCTGCTTTTCCTTTCCTTGGCCTTAAAGACATCAGGAATGGTGGGGGGTGGAGAGTGGCGTGGGCTGGGAGAAAGGCAGGCTATTTAAGCATTGGATACAAGTGAGGAGAGAGTGAGCAGAGAAATGGTTAGCTCTGCAAGAATGGAGATCTCCGTAAAAGCATCTGAAGACCAGCCAGGGGGACCCAACTGTAGTTTGGAGCTCCTTATCCTACATGTAAGAACCCGACACTGCTTTGGAGATTCCCTCTAAAAATCAATCCAGTTACTTTGCCATACTTGATGAAATTACTTAAATGTGATTACATGTTAATAATCATATTTTCTCCATAATTTATTTCAAGGAAACATAAAATGAAAGTAACAGTAAAAATGTGTATGACACAAAATCATTCAACACACAGAAGGCTGCTTTTGTCTGTTAAAGTTTGGGATCCCATAGCTCTATGGGTTTAGCCGGTTCTGGTCACACACAGCTCAATGAGCTCTTGGAAACTGGAAAAGAGGGTAACTCTTCTCTTTCCTCTTTGTCTTCTTCCTCTCCCCTTCCTTTCCCTTGTTATTTATTTCTTTTCCCTCCTACTGCCGAAACAGGATCTTGGAAAGTTTGGTTATCCTGAGATGGAGGTCTGCTCTCCTGTAGTCTGTACCTTTTTTTGTCTTTTCGGTCAGGCATATCTCAACCAGTTCTACTCTCTTGAAATAGAAGGGAGTCATCTTGCTCAAAGCAGTAACAGAAGTCTCATAGATGGCAAAATTCGTGAAATGCAAGCATTCTTTGGATTGACAGTGACTGGAAAACTGGACTCGAACACTCTGGAGATCATGAAGACACCCAGGTGTGGGGTGCCTGACGTGGGTCAGTATGGCTATACTCTCCCCGGGTGGAAGAAGTACAACCTCACCTACAGGTAATGCTCCTACTCTTAATCTAAATGAATGTGAATATTATCTCTAAGAAGCAAAGATAATAATGGCTTATTTTACCCAGCACTTCCTGTGTGCATAGTACTTGATAGGTTTTATTTTTCCCACCCTCTCAAAAAACTTGTGACATAGGCACCCCTGTTATTACCATGTTAAACACAGGAGAAACTGGAAGGAAAAAGAAAAAGCTTGTTTAGCATAGTCCAGTTTGCACAGCTCGTCTCAGCAGACTGGCTCTGCAAATATGCTCTAATCTCTAGCCTCTGCCTTCTCCATAGAAACTCAGGACCAGAACCACTATGATCTGACTGCAGATGCTTAAAGGTACACTTGAAGTGTGCTCAAGGGAAAGTGAGAAAATGGAGTACAACCAGCTCATGCTGGAGACATGTATGAGTTAGACAGTCAAATCTCAGGTGGACCTCAGATATCACAAACAAAGGAGCTGGCTTATCGGCAGAAAGGTGTTGAAGGGCACCTGTGACCTGAGATAGAGGCAGTGGCCTTAACCACTGCTCTAGAGCTCTCCTGGCTGGCCTTAAAAAGTCTAATAGTCCTTCCTTCTTCTTGAGCTTTAGGGGTTGAGGTAAAAATGGGTTTAGCAAAACAGAGAATATAAACAAAAGGAAGATCTTTTCCTGAGAAACAAACTCTTTGTGGCTCTCAAGTGAGACTTAATATATGACACATGCATAAAACTGATTTCTATAAGCTGTTTGAGAAAATGAGTCTCAGTTCTTTTCAGAATATATGTATCATACAGTCATATACACAGCAAATCCAAGCATAAAATGAATGATCTTCCACTTAAGATGTGACCTTAGGGAAGTCATTTAACCTCTTAGAGCCTCATTTGTCAATGTGTGATAATACTACCTGATGAGTAGCACAGATGAAAGTCTGAATTATTAACATATAGCATATGTAAAAGTACCTAATTTGAATGGTAAAGAATTGTACAAATCTAGCGATAGCACCATACCAAAAGTTACTGCACCATGTGATGGATAAGATAGAAAGTATTTTCTTTTCCTAGTATGTGTGTTTCCATGCTTGTATAACAGCCAATTGATATATATCTGTTAATTTGTAAGAATTGTAAACTACACTCCTGATATGGCTCGAGCTGATGTGGATGAGGCTATCCAAAAAGGTTTAGAAGTGTGGAGCAGAGTCACTCCGCTAATATTCACCAAGATTTCCAAAGGGATCGCTGACATCATGATTGCCTTTAGGACCCGAGGTAAGGTTTTCTGCAGAGAAAGCAATATGGCTATTTTCATCTCGGGAGCTTTGACAAGGCTGATCTTCCCCCTCTGTGACTGTTTCCCAGTCCATGGTTGGTGTCCTCGTTACTTCGACGGCCCCTTGGGAGTCCTCGGCCACGCCTTTCCCCCTGGTCTGGGACTGGGTGGAGACACTCACTTTGATGAGGATGAGAACTGGACCAAGGATGGAGTAGGTGAGCCCAATTTTCTTTATGAACAAAATGTTACGATTCATACAAATCCCTGAAAGGAATAGCTTTGCAGTTAGTTGCTTTTTACTTCCCAGTTTCCCTATGATGTTTCATATTCCAGATGACACTGATGAAAGTGTTCACTGTCTATTCAGACAGCTGTGCTTGTATGGTTCAGAGCTGCATCCACACAGCACTTTCATAAAGCCACTAATCCTGTTACAATCAGAACATTCTTCCCTTACTCATTTATTCATTCATACATCTGCAATGCCTGAAGGGCCACTACGAGTCTGGAACCATGCAAGGTGTAGTGAAGACCACAAAGTTGTTCCAGAAAAGTTCAGACTTTCATGAGCTTGGGTGATGTATAAGGCCTAGACCCACTCACCACCATAAAAGGCAAAAAGTGCTGTGTATTACACCGATGGCAGAGGTCATCTCTAGCTTGAGGATTGAAAGAAGACTCTGGGAGGTGGTAATTCCAAGTTAGTGATTGAAGGAGGCTATGTGGATACATGGCCCATAGGACGTCCATTTATATACATGAACCTCTTCTTCTAACTCTTGCTTGTCTACCAAAGAATTAGACCCTGGTCTTTATATTTGATTTATTTCTTTAGACCATGGGCAGTGATTTTATTTCTGTTAATGGGCCTCCCTGGCATGAAGACAAGAGATATTTTATTATGTTTCAAATAAAAAAACAAAACTTTGTTAAAGTGAAAATACATACCTCTAACAAAGGAGCAGTTCAGTAGACTCTCAGTTTCTCCCTAATGTTTTTTTTTTTTTTTTCCTATCATTGACCACAGTCATCGTGTCTCTGGTTTCTGGTTTCCAGGGTTCCAGGAAAGAGGATGCTGTGGTTTTCTGGTGGGTGGTATGCAAGGCCACAATTCAGTCCTGACCACATAACTCTATGGAGCCTGTGAGTCAGTCATAGTTTCTGCAAAACTGAAAGCCAGTGACTCAAAATGACACATGGGTTCTCCTTGCTAAGTCTGAGCACGTGATGGAAGTGTTCTTCCAAGAGCTAGGAAACAAAGAGGGGGAAGTACTCTGTGCTGGCTGGACTTCAGGGGGAGTTTGAGTTGGCTGCTGCACTTCCACATGAGGTAACATTACAGCCAGGAAGGTGAAAGAGGTAGGGCGACCCCAGGATCCAAATGACAGGGGAGTTGGAGACCGAGTCCGTCTCCCGCTGAGACGTCTTCCAGTGTTTTCTTGGATTTGGCCTAAAGGTCGCGTGGATACATCCAATCAGGCAGGTTAGGAAATACTCTAGTGCTCACCGAAGTCAGAATGACTCCCCTCACTCAGCCAGGCTTTACTTGCATATCTAGAAGCAGAGATTAGTCTCAGGTTTCACTGTCATTCTTTAAAAATATTTATTTATTTATATTTAGCTGTACTGGGTCTTACTTGCAGCAAGTGGGCTCAGTTGTTCCATGGCGTGTGAGATCTTAGTTCCCTGACCAGGAATTGAACTCATTTCCCCTGCACTGCAAGGCAGAGTTTTAACCACTGGACCACCAGAGAAGTCCCCTCATTATCATTTTATCCCTATTAGTTCCAGTTTGTTGCTGTTTGTCGCTAAGTTGTATCCGACTCTTTTGCCACCTAGTTGACGGTAGCCCACCAGGCTCCTCTGTCCATGAGATTCTCCAGGCAAGAGTACTGGAGTGGGTTGCCATGCCCTCGTCCAGGGGATCTTCCCAATGCAGGGATTGAATCCATGTCTCCTGCACTGGCAGGCAGATGCTTCCCACCTGGGAAGCCCATTAATTCCAACACTTAGTGGTAAAAGTACTATTCCCCACACTGCAACTGGCCCCTTGCCAAAGGGGATGTGTGGAATGGATTATGAAAAAATCCAGAGGGTCCTGGGCTCCAAGTTGGCAAAACTGCCTGAGCAAAGCAGAGGATAAACATAGCACTCCATTAAGTTCTGGGTGGATAGCCCGGCAACAAAACTAAAAAGGGGTGTTTTGTAACTGCTTTATTATAATATATTCCCTCAGGGTTGAAATTATTGGCCCTGGGGGATCCCTAATCTTGTAACTCTCAGCTTTCTGACCTACATGGGAAAATGTTTTCCTGTTCTCTAATAAAAATGTAAAATCTCAAGCATCTGTAACCTCTAATCAAATGTATTTTTTAAAATAGAAAATTTGGCAATAATGTATAATATACGATTACCTTTTTATGTATATGTGGGCTCTCTTTATGCAAAGGGCACAAAAGTCTTAGTGTAACTCCGTCAAAAGCAATAGATAGCAGTCATCTGCTAATCCCACTGCTTCCTAAGGGGTTGGAAGTCACTGCACGGTGATATCAGAGAGACTTAAGCACATGGAGAGGGTTTCCTGGGAATCTCCCAAAGTGAGGCTAGTTTCAAACCTGTGTGTGAATGTAAACCCTTCATGCATGCACTGACACCAGGCAACGGAAGCAGACCTCAGAGACCACTGCAGACGCAGGGCTGGGACGGAGCAGAGCGATGGTCTGTGGCATGGGGGAGCTTGCATGCAGCAAGATGACACAACTTATCTGCAACGAAGGCAGAAAAACCTTGCGAGGCACCAGTCCTTAGCACACATTCAGAAAGTGTTTGACACTGATAATTATGTTGGTGATTATTAATACTAATGATAATGGTGATGATGAAGTGATTTCTAGGAGAAAAAAAATTCACAAAGGTACTGATGTATAATGCCCAAACTTATCTATTTAGTTGCATCTCCAAGAAGGCAGAAATGAAATCTTTTTTCTACTGTATCATACATCCTATAATAGTCAGTACATGAGAAATGTTCTACAAATAATAGTAAATGAAGCCTTTCAACAATCCTTTACTCAGAATCTACTCTAATCCACGCTCTGTACTAGAAATGGAATATACAATAGTGTACAAGACACAGACCCTGCTCTCCAGGGGTTTACAGTCTAGATGGTACACTCTATCAAATGGCATTTAAAGTTAGTATGATCAACCTTGGGATAAAAGGAACTATGGTAATGTAATAGGAGCACCTAAAAGAAATTCCGGCCCATATACAGAGGTCAGGGAGGAAGTGACGCCAACTGAGACTTGAAGGCTATGCAGGAATTCTGAAGCAAAGTGGAGTAAAAAGTGTTCTAGACAGGATAACCCGACCAACTCAGGTACTAGAATTGTAATGGAACAGAAGGCTAAAATGGTGTAGGTTAGAATCCTATACAGAGGGTCTTGAGAGACACAGTAAAAGTTTGCACTTCATTTAGACGATCTGAGTTTCAATTACTTTTTTAAAGAGTCACTTGTCCCATCCCTGTCCAAAAGCACACACAGTGACATTGCTAGCCAGACAAGGGGAGGCAGCAAAAGCCAGAGCAAAAAGCATGAGAGTCCATGAAATAATTCTTTGCCTTTCCATATTTGTTTTATGCAAACATCACTGGACAAGGCTCCATCACAAAAGGCTCAGCACTTTCCTTAGTATCCATAGGCTTAGCTGCAAGCCCAAGGACAGTCTTTTTTATATTCTTAGAAGCTTACAGACTGTAGGAGAGACAGACAAATAAAAGGGCAATGCCAACCATGCATGGTATGACTTCTGGTGTGGGTAAGTACAGGGTACTACAGTCTTGTCCAGGAAGAGCATCTAACCATCCTTTCATCCAAATGAAAGACCGGATATCCAGCACCCATTACTAAGCTGTTTATCAGTCCCCAGGAAGATGATTAAGACACGGTCTCTGGACTGAAAGGGTGCACACTTAGTGAAAGAAAGAAAGAATGCAGTACTTATTTGCAAAGACAGGATTAAGCTCAGTCTATAGAAATGGAGAGAGGTGCAATTAAGTCAACCTGGACAGGAGCTGGGGGAAAGAAGTTTCGTAAAGGAGATGATTCTGAAGGGGATTCCTAAGGACTAAGCAGGACAGATGAGTGAAAGGGGGTGAGAAAGGTTATACTCCAGACAAGAAGTGATAGAGATACAAAGACACAGATTAAAAAAAGCATGGCATCGGTGAGAAATGCAAATGATTCCACATGGCTAGCTCAGGTAAAACGAAAATAAAATATGAGGCTGGGGAAAAAAGCAGGGACTAGTTCGTGGAAGGCCATGTTTAAGTATTTGGACTTGATCCTACAGCCAGTGGAGAATCTCTGAAGCATATAAGTAGGGGAAATATGATCACATACAGACACCTAACAACAACCCCAAACTGGTGGCTTTTTTTTTTCCCCCCACTACTATCCATTTTGAGACACCTGTTTTCTGCCATCTGCTTGCTCTGGGTTACATTTCTCCATGATGTGACTAATACCAATTATCAGTGTTGAAAAATTTCCCAGATAAATGATGGTTCATATGTTATGACAAGCCTTTTTTTCATTTCTCTCAGTTACTTCCTAATCTCAGATGCAGTCATTCTCCTGATTGACTAATGTACTCATGTTTTCCCTGTTTTTGTTAAGGATTCAGCTTGTTTCTCGTGGCAGCTCATGAATTTGGTCATTCACTGGGGCTCTCTCACTCCAGTGATCAAACAGCCTTGATGTTCCCAAACTACGTCTCCTTGGATCCTAGCAAATACCCACTTTCTCAGGACGATATCAAAGGAATCCAATCCATCTACGGTGAGCAACAAATCTGAATATATGTGAACTGAACTGAAGGCTTTCAGGAAGGAAGTTGAGAAAAATCACTTCTTGAAATATTATTCTGAAGAAAATATTCTCTTGGGAAAGATCTTTCTGTAGGTATTTCCACATGCCTTCTTAACTCACTGAGGTATTTCTTTTCTCATCAAAGGAGGGCCACCTAAGTTACCTGTGAAGCCAAAGGGACCCACTGTACCTCATGCCTGTGACCCCGATTTGACTTTTGATGCTATCACCACTTTCCGCAGAGAAGTAATGTTCTTTAAAGGCAGGTAAACCCATTCCCTTAAACACCTCACTTCCTGTGAAGTTTTTCTTTTCAGATTTGGGGATAAGGGGGTTGTTGGGATAGTGAGAATGTGTCTTTGCTTTTTGTTTTATAACTGTCTACATAGCTTGAATGTTTTACTCTGTGCACATATCTCTTACCTGTTTGATAAATTATTTTTTTAAATGGTAATTAGCTGCTTAATTTTTTGAGTAACTGCCATTCCACTTTCCATAGAGGCGACACCATTTTACATTCCTACCAGTGACAACCAATGTTCCAGTCTCTCCACATCCTCACCAATACTTGTGTTCTGTTTTTCCATCTCTGCTGATGTCACCTCTAGGAGAATGTGTTCCGTGACATTTCTCTCTACCCTCCCAGGTAGAGGTGAGCCGCTTTTTCCTCTGTGATACCATTGTTTTCATTTACACCCCATCCCTTCCCCTATCAGTCATCCAGTAGCTCTTGTCAAGTCCTACTGCACATACATCTATGGTCTATACCCACTCCCTTCTCTCTGTCTCCACCACCATCTCCAGCTCATCCAAGCTACCATCATTTCTCATCTCCTACTCCAGAAACCTGTTTACTGGCCTGCTTGTTTCTGCTCCCATCTTACATACATGCAATAGCCAAAGGGATCTCACATTGATAAATTAATTTTTAAATGTTTTTAAGCAAATTTTTAAATTTCCATTGAACCAGAGTCTACTTTCAGTAACCTCTTAGCTAAAATAATACCCCAATCCCAACCATGTCCTGGACCTGGTTTATACCATTTTAGGATCCAATTATTAAATTTTCAAGAATTTTGTAAACTAGCTCATATTGATTTAGTAGCTTGAAATTGGCCTTGGTTGGAGTACCTACACCCTGAAAATCACCAAATGATAAAAACTAGGTCTTTTTCCCACCTGGAGAGCCAGTTGTGAAATATGCATCAGTGGACCATTCCTCAAAGTTGAATCAACAAAATGTTAGCTGGGGTAGGAAATCTCTTCTCTCACTCTGTAATAACTGCACTTAACTTGCAACATGGTGTGTCAGTTGTGTATACCGTGGCCACACTTTCAGAGCAAAGTGTCAGGACATACACCATCTGACAAGGATATGGGGGCAAAGGGAAAGAATATGTGAAATCAGACTTCTTCCACCCATGACCACGTGGCACTACAGTTCATGGGGTCACAGAGTCAGACACACCTTAACAACTGAACAACAACAGCAGAGACATGCGATCATACCATGCTCCTAATAGCTGAGGCTGAAAGACCACGTGTCAGGGATGGGTTCCCAGCATGAGACGAAAAATGAACTATAAGGACTTTTCAGGTCTTGCTCACAGGCTCAGAGCTTTGCAGTCAGAAAGGAAATCTGAGGAAATATTTAGCAATGACAATAATAACATGTTTTAATTCTAGCAATCAATACCAGAAATGTTTTCTTAGAATGCTTGGTGTTGGCTTAGAATATTGGGAATTGTTGCTTTGGCAAAAATGAGGTGGCTGAGTATACTGAGAACTGTTAATGAGACTTCCATGAGTGGTTTGCTACTCTAAGCACCCAGAAGAGTGGGCACAAAGGCATGTCCGGACTTTGGCGGTCCAAAGGGTAGGACTGAACTCATAACCACCTAAAATTGCTGAGGAAAATTGTGTTAATGCTATAAATTGTTTGAGGAAAATATCGCCCAATTAGATAAAGTCAAGTCTAAGTTTGTAGTGGTTTCATTGAAATAGATACACATAGACTATATATAAAGTATGGTTTCCTGTCTAACACAGGCACATATGGAGGATCTATTATGACATCACTGACGTTGAATTTGAATTAATCTCTTCATTCTGGCCATCTCTGCCTGCTGATATTCATGCTGCATATGAGAACCCCATCGACAAGATTCTGGTTTTTAAAGGTAACGTTGCCTATCACTATGCCTCTTCTCCTTATGTATGCCTGAACTAGTTAGCAGATACTTTAATTCAAGGAATATAATCTTCATGCATGAGCCAAAAGGACAGGGCTTCCACTCTGACCTTAAGTTCCTATTATAAGAACAACTATCCAAAGATTCTTTCTGGCTATAAAGATAAACACCATCCCAAGTGCACAGGAGAACAGAAACCTGTGTAACAAAAATTAAAAAGTCTTTTTTTCTGCCAAATAAAGTTAACCCATCTCTCTTCTTATATTCCCTTTTTACTAGGGTTGCTAGATGTGGCAAATAAAAATACAAGATGCTTTGAATTTCAGACAAATAAAAAATAACTTTTTAGTTTAAGTGTGTCCATTGTAATATTTTGGATATATGTATACCAAAAATTAGTCACTGTTTACTTGAAATTCAGATTCAGATTCAATTGGTATCTTATATTCAATCTAGCAACCCTACTTTTCAGGTGAATTTTATCAGATTACTTGCCTTTGAGAACACGAGGGTGTGGAAATTTAGGAGAACAAATATACTCGACGGTTTTGTCAGAATTAGAAAAGAATCAATATAATGAACTCAACTGACAAGGGTATGCATACTATTAACTATGAAAGTGAGAGTGAAAGTGTTAGTGGCTCAGTCGTGTCTGACTCTTTGTGACATCATGGACTGTAGCCTGCCAGGCTTCACTGTCCATGGAATTCTCCAGGCAAGAATACTGGAGTGGGTAGCCATTTCCTAGGTATATATTATTTGTGTAGTATTAATGATATTTAAGTAGCTAAAGAATGTGGTAAGAATAAATGAAGACACAAGATAACTAAATCTTTAAGATTTGAACCTGAAAGGAACTAGGAATCTAATTATTTTCAAACTTCTTAAGATGCCTATTTCTCCCTTTAGGAAATAAATCAGAAAATACTGACTCTCCCTCTCGTCCTAGATGACAGCTTCTGGGTGATCAGAGGATATGCTGTTTTACCGGATTATCCCAAATCCATCTATACTCTTGGCTTTCCAAGACGTGTAAAGAAAATTGATGCAGCTGTGTGTGACCACAGCACAAGAAAGACCTACTTCTTTGTGGGCATTTGGTGCTGGAGGTAAGTTTGCTGACAAATGGCCCCTTGTTTTATTCTGGAGAAAAATATCCACAAAGCATCACTTTAACACGGTCTTCCAAAAGTGTATTCACCAAACAAAAGAATGTTTCAGTCAGGTCAAAGATCTTTCTCCAGCTTGTAAAAATAAAGAGGGTGGGATGTTTCGAGAGAACAGCATTGAAACATGCATATTATCTATAGTGAAACAGATCACCAGCCCAGGTTGGATGCATGAGACAAGTGCTCAGGCCTGGTGCACTGGGAAGACCCAGAGGGATTGGGTAGAGAGGGAGGTTGCAGGGGGGATCGGGATGGGGAGTACATGTAAATCCATGGCTGATTCATGTCAGTGTATGACAAAACCCGCTACAATATTGTAAGGTAATTAGCCTCCAACTAATAAAAATGAATGAAAAAAAAAATTTTTTTAAGATAAAATAATAAGGCTGGTGGTGCCAACCAAGCTGCCAGTGACAAACATATTCAGTCAAAATCACTGAAACTCTGGAAAGAGTCCTTTGATTTAACAGTTCCTCAGAATAGTATCGATCTGACAAATTATGTGGCTTTTTTCCCTCATAATTCCTTGTTTTCAAGACACTGTCAGTGATCTGACTGAACATACTCTTTGCCATTTTTAAACTATTGATCCAACTAGTTTTCTTCCAATAGGGCTACTCTTTTTATACATCTTTTCTTGACTCCAAGTTGTGCAGTAAAAAAATTAGTCCTCTCCCCCTGAAGCAAAGGTCCCCTGAAAACCTTTCAAATCCACGTCTCCAGGTATGATGAAGTGACCCAAACCATGGACAAAGGGTACCCACGGAGAGTGGTAAAGTACTTCCCAGGAATTGGTCTCCGAGTGGATGCCGCTTTCCAACACAAAGGTAAGCATCAGCACCTGACTATTAGGATACTTAGAAGACTTTACTGACTGTGAAAGAATTCAGCATGAAAACTTAAATGTTCCCATTTTAATGTCATTTTACTGCTTTGAGTACATGTAATAATAAACTTTGAGGAACTTATCAAAATTGAATAGTAAGTTCTGAGTAATGTTCTCTGACATACAACTTCAAAACTATGCAAAAGTTACCAAAATTATCACGGATCATAGATGTCTGATAAAGATACCCCTGAAGAGTTTTAAGTGTGGAACAATGACTGAGCATCTGAACAGTGATTCTCAAGCCTCAATGTATATAGCATATACACAGTTTAGGATTTGTGTATGAAGCGACATGGAGAAGGCAATGGCACCCCACTCCAGTACTCTTGCCTGGAAAATCCCATGGATGGAGGAGCCTGGTAGGCTGCAGTCCATGGGGTCGCTAAGAGTCGGACCCAGCTGAGCGACTTCACTTTCACTTTTCACTTTCATGCATTGGAGAAGGAAATGGCAACCCACTCCGGTGTTCTTGCCTGGAGAATCCCAGGGACAGAGGAGCCTAGTAGGCTGCCCTCTATGGGGTCGCACAGAGTCAGACACCACTGAAGCGACTTAGCAGCAGCAGCAGCAGCAGCAGCATGAAGCGACAAGTTCCTTAGAGTTTCTGAGGCAGTAGGATTGTGGGTAAGATCCAGGAATCTACAGTTTTAAAAGAACCTCAGGCAAATTAATGAATCAGTCCAGCTACTATATCTTCAAAGACAACAAAGCAGACCATGGAGTAAGCAGAAGTCTAAAGATATTTTTGAGTATCGCCATCTTTTACCAGTGAAATCTAACACGGAACCTCAGAACTTAAAACAGATCAACCAGAGCAGCTCTAGGAAAATGAAATAGGGCCCAAGGCCATACTCACAGAGGCCTCTTTCTCCCCCTCACTGAGACATTGTTTGAAAATCTAGTTTGAGACCCTCTGGTATAAACTACAGGCCCTTGAAATTCATGTTTCATACCTTGGCTTTTTCCTCAGGGAAATAAAACTAATATTTTTTATGTGACTGGGTAAAGTAAAATGTATGTATATAGTTACACATTTATTTTCTCTCCATATCATGTTCAATTATTGTATTCTACATTCATAAAATTGAAAAGTATGGAACAATTATACAGTTGCATAAGATAACTAATCATGATTCTCTCTCTCTAGGATTCTTCTATTTCTTCCGTAGATCAAAACAATTTGAATATGATCCTAAGGCAAAGACCGTTACCCGAATAATGAAAACCAATACTTGGCTTCGGTGTAAAGAACTGTTAAATTCATCATCTGATTTTACTATCAGTGAGGAAAAAGTACATTCAGGAGTGGAGATGTTTCATTATAAAAATTTAAATTTTCTTATTTTTAGTATTGTTCACATGATGAACAAAATCTACAGTTACCAATAAATTCATAGACCTAATATAAACCTCAAGGGATCTTTTAATCTGAACTCTGCTTCAAATTAGAACAGAACTGTTCTTTAACGTCAAGTCACCAGGCCTAGTTATAAATATCTATTGAATGAAGAGTGAAACAGCTATTTTGAGCTGCCTGATTCTTTTTACAGGAAATTATGTATAAACAAAACTCTCACTGGACTTTAAGCATATTTTATGTTTTGTAGACTTGAAGAAGTAAGCTCTGTGTCTTATAATAACAAAATACCGAAAACATTTATTAAACCAATCTTTAGCATTCTATTTTGTCTGGACCTTTGGAGTTGGAGAGGCTCAATAAACTGCAACCCACATCCCTACCCATGTTTTGAATCTACTGAGAAATATACAGTTGGGAGAGTATAATACCACCTTTATTACTGAAAAGCTTATGCTAGAGAATGTATCTGTGGACGAGCAATCTTCCTGATATCAAATTCTAGAGTGACACATACTTACTCACATGTCATGGGAAGAGCTGGAAAGCGCCCTGCCTCCCCAAGGAAAAGTCAGCTACCTGCAGACTGCAAGGAGCCCAAAGAGAAAGAAGTGAGGATGGAGGTACAGGTACCTAGTTTCTGCTCCCAAATTCACAAATCAAATAAGCTATTCTGCCTCCCGAAGAGAGGAGTGAGAACCTAGAGAGATGCAGGAAGTGCTCCACTACAAATGACCCCCCAACAATTCAGAAACTAGCAGGAGTAGGCAAGTAATGTTCCCTCCAACCCTCACCCTCCAAGCAGAGACCATTGAACCATTCCTCAGAAAGTTTAAAAGCAAGTTTTGTGCACACTGTCCTCATATATCATATACAAGAAATGTGGAAATTTCTTGTGTTTCCTGTGTATATGGGTCATGTGTGTTCAGTCGTGTCTAACTCTTCACAACCCAGTGGACTGTAGCCCACCAGGCTCCTCTGTCCATGGGATTTTCCAGGCAAGAATACTGGATTAGGTTGCCATTTCCTTCTCCAGTTTATGGGTCATCTGTCCTTATACCTATTGGTAGAAAGTTCCTGTCCTCTGATATACCATGTGCATGTTGGGCTTCTAAATTCTTGTGGTTAAGTTTTGCCTTTACATCCTCATAGCTAAATGCTTAGCAAAGCTCTACACAAGTTTTGTGACCCAAAAGATGGGTGGTTGTCAGTTGAAATTGAATCTGATTAGGTGATAAATTGCGTAGGTGTCAATTGATAGAAAGTGAGAACAGAAAATCTCAGGAATTCCTACAGCTGGCCCTCCAACTCACACACATTTCCTAAGAGAATGGGGTGTTCTTTTATCCCAAAGAAAAAAGTAGTTGCATATTTGAAACAGTAAGTTTTAAGAAGTACAGGGTAATACCTAGCATATAGGAGATAGTAGGTCAGTCTTTGGGAAAAAAAAAATAGTGCTGGAATAATCAAATATCCAAACACATAAAAAACTTAGATTAACTCACACTGTTCACAAAAATTTACTAAAAATGGGCCATAGACCTCTAAATAGAAGAATTAAAAATATAAAGCTTCTAGAAGAAAATATTTTTAAAATGTTGTAGCTTTGGATTAAGCAAAGATTTTTAGATTTTTCAATAGGACATAAAAAGTGTGAACCATAAAAGAAAAATTGGTGAATTGAACTTCATGAACATTCAAAAACTTTGCTTTTGAAAAAAAAAGAATGAAACACCACACATTGGGAGAAAATATTTTCAAAACATGTGATAAAGTACTTATATCCTGAATATGTAAATAATTCTTACAACTCAAAAATAAGAGGACAAACAGCTCAATCTTTTCAATGGCTAAAATATTTGCTATGAGTGGCAAATAAACACATGGAAAGATATTCAACATCTCAATCATTAGGAAAATGCTAATTAAAACCACAGTGGGATACTACTACATATCCACCAGAATGGTTAAAATTTAAGACTGAAAATACCAAATGTTGACAAGATGCAGAGTAACTGGAACACTCTTAGAGTGTTGGTGAGAGTGAAAAATGATGCAACCATTTTGGAAAAAGGTCTGGCTGTTATAAGTTAAACACATACACATCATGTGACCCAAAAACCTCACTCCTAAATGCTTAGGAAAAATGAAAACATGCTAACATAATTAGTTATACAGAAATGTTCATGATAGTTTTATTTATATGTAAAACCTGGAAACCACCCAAATGTCTATCAAACTGGTCCATCTAGACAGTGGGAAACTATTCAGCAATAAAAAACAATATATGAATGATACATGCAACAATATGGATGCATCTCAAAAGTATTATGGTAAATGAAAGCAGACAGACACAGAAGACTTCATATCATATGATTCCATTTATATGAAAAATTTTTAAAGGCAGACTATAATGATAGAAAACAGATGGCTGGTTGCCAGTGGTCAGAAGTGAAAGAAAGGATTGACCACAATAGAATATATGTGACAGAAATGTTCAATATCATGATTATGGTGGTGGTGACACTACTGAATATATTTTTTAAAACCGTACACCTAAAATTAGTGAATTTTATTATATGCTAATTCTATTTCAACATTGCTTATTAGAAAAAGTAGTGCAGCTTAGTATTTAACATTGGGCTTCTCAGGGTGGCGCCAGTGGTAAAGAACCTGCCTGCCAATGCAGGAGACATGAGATGGGGGTTCGATGCCTGGGTCAGGAAGATCCCTGGAGGAAGGCATGGCAACCCACTCCAATATTCTTGCCTGGAGAATTCCACTGACAGACGAGCCTGGCCGGCTAGAGACCATAGGTTTTTCGAAGAGCCGGACATGACTGAAGCAACTTAGCATGCATGCAGATTTTCAAATATTCATCAAACTTCCTTTGTTTCCTTACATCTGTTCTCAGTTCTGTGGCATAAACACCTGGGGTATTTAGAGAGCATCTGAAATTGCTTATATTGATTGCAATATATATTGATTACTCCTTAATTTTCAACTTTCTCCTTTCTTCTTAATTTTCAACACTTAAATCTAAATATAGGAATATCTAAAAACAGTTTTCCAAAGAATCTATGTTGACTATTAGAGCTTTATTAAATATTTATAAGTATAACTCAAAGATCAGCTGATTTTATTCATTCTTTGAAATTTTAAGGAACGTCATTTTGAAAAGCCTCTGGAGTTTTCTAAGGCCCTCCACCAAGCTATTGGGGAAAAAAATTCATATTCTTAATGTTCCTTAGCCAACCCACCTCCAGTCATCTCACCAGTCACTTCTCCCCTGGATTCCACCCTCCTGCTCCTCTGTCTGACCCCCTCTCTGCTTTGCCCTCTGTGAGGAACCCCAGTTCCTCCTTTCTGAATTATTTTTCTCTTTAAACATAAAGCAGTTAAGTTGTAACTTCATTTGCTGTCTCTTAAACATGCCATCAGGGCCTCCCTTTACTTGGAAAAGCAGCTTATTTTTTTATCCAAGAGAAGAGGACCAAAACGCACTTTGAGCTTGCTTCATAAAGAAGATGATTTGGTTTCCCTTCACCAGCTTGGAGGCTGGGGAAGAGTATGCGCTCAGGAGCCAGGCTGCTTAGACTTGCAGCCCACTTCCTCTGCTTAGCAGCTGTGGAAGCTTGGGCAAGTTACTGACTTCTCTAGAGCTTGGCTTCTCCATTTGTGAAAGGAGAACAGGAAGGGACCCAGATGCTGAACTAGTCACATACAGCATGTAGAATTAGCACTTGAGACACACTGCTTGATAACTGTGAGCCATCATTATTGGAACTAGGCAAATTAAACTGTTTATCCAACAGTAAGTTAAACAGTTTATCCAAAAGTACAAACAATTGGAAAAACTAGAAGCCTGCTATATAATACACTTACTGGGGATAAATTAACTGGAAGAACAAACTTTGTTCGAGTTTGCTGTGTCCTTTCTGGTTTTCTCAAGGACCTGTGCTCAGGTTTTCAAAGAAAGAAACAGCTTTAAAAACAAGCATGAACAAGACTATGTTAACAAGTATTTACTCATTTTGGAGATTTGAGCAGCTGAGATGGAACAGAATTAAATTCACACGCAGAGAATGTTTTGAATTATTCTTGCTTTGGGACAAAGAAAGAAGCTCATCATAATCTTTCTGTTATTCATCATGGACGGACTCTCCTTAAGAGTGTCATCTAAATGAATCACCTGTCCCAGAGGAAAACGCGATGATTTGTTGTTTTTGGTTTTGGTCTTGAAGTTATTTTGAATTCAACATCTCCTTAGGTTGAAATTCAGTCCCTTGTTTGTCTTCAGGTATAGAGAATCTTAAAAAGGAAGATCAACACCTACAAAATATTTTCCACATACTGAAACTGGTCACAAAATCATTCATTTTGGGTCTTTATTCACTCCCCAATACCACTATCTATCTGCAGTTTCTACAAGAAAATAAAAATCCACTTTGAATCACTTAGAAGTTTATCTCTAGGAACATCAAGAAAATATAAGATAGTTAACAATGAATTTAAAATCTCCTTACGGTTGTAAGTTCCCAGAACAAAGAAGTGTTTCTGTCTGACCACTATGTATAGTTTTATGCAGTATTTATTGCTTAATTGACCATAAGCCAGATTTTAATTTAATCTTGAGCTTTGATTAATTAATGATTTTTGTCCATTTTTGTGAATTATAGTGCTCAGTTTTATTAGTAACAAATAGGAGCATTTATTTCAAAGTTCTTGTATTTTTTATCACACTGAGTTCAGAATTTCAAGTTTCTTGAACTATTCGTAAAACTGAGAAGCAAAGTACTTCAAATAGGAAATTTCAACTGACGAATTCACGAAGTTGAAGTGGAAAAAAAATGGGTCTAAAAACCTCAAGAAATATGATACTAAGGATCTGAAGGAACTATATGTGAAAACGCGTCTTAGATGGTAAGATTTTCAAGCCAACCTGATCTGATCTTCTCAGGAGTCTTGTGTTAAAAAATCTGTTGAGGTGGATTTCATCGAAGATGGCACATTGTTATTTTTCACGTAACAC